CGTGGAGGCGGTGCTGCATGGTGGCGGCGCCCCCGGGGTGAGCACAGCAAAACTGGTGCGGTTCAACAGCCTCTCGGACGTCCCCGCCGTGCATCTTGACCAGCGCCCTACCGCCGAGCTTCCACTGTGCACTGGCAGGTGCAATTGGCCTGACGCCTCCGTCTGGCTTCGCGGCCAGGTGGAGCCGTGCAGAGCGGTGCGCCTGCACTGCTGCGCATGGCGCCTCCCCCAAGAACAGCATAGTGATGACCTGGGCCATGAACCCGACGCCGCCGTCCACAACATGCTGGAATGCAAAATGCTCGTACACGGATCCCGAAGGACCAGCTCCTGCCATGCGTTCAATGTGCATCAGCTGCGCCACAACATGTTGTACAAACTCGGCACGCTCATCATCTGGGAGAGGATCATGCTGCTGCAAAGCCTGCGCTTCGTTGTGCCAGCGCGGGTCAGGCAACTCGTCCGGAAATGGAGCACGAAGTTGGCCAGGGACATCAGGCCCGCGAACAAATGAAATGGGACGCGTGGCTCTCCCAAGTGCCCGGCTGATGGCGCGCGCGTCCACGAGGTTGTGCACCGCCTGAGTTTCCCGTTGTAGCTGCTTGTGCTCGGACGTTGTCTGGATGGCACGGCGCTCCGGCAGTGAGGTCATATCCAGCTCGAGCAATAGTTGTGGCCATGCGCCATCCCAAAAAGCCTTCAGCCTGCGAGCCAACGTAGTGTTCACTGTGGCATGTCCTTGTCCTCTGCGCCCCCCGCGGGCGCGCGGGATCTTGCCCAGCACCAGCGCATCGAACATAGTGAAGAGTTTCCAGGCCCGCTCCCCGCTGGTGGAGTCCTGCTGCTCCCATGACTGCATGATGAGCTGGTTCACGGCGTGCTTCGCCTCTGCCACCGAGACGTGGAAATGGGCTGGCACATTACGTAGCGTGGGGTAGCACTCGCGCACTCTGCTCCACTCCGCCGTGTCCCATTGGTCCATGTACTTCAGCGCCTGGGGGGCCGGCTGGGGTGCTGGCCGCACGTTCCCGTTGGCAGGCGAGGCCGCTGCGTCCGAAGGCGTCTCGGTGGCGGTGGGGAAGGTCCGGAGGAAGGCGGCTTGAGCTTCGACGGGCAGGTCGCCTACTCCTGCGATATCCCAAGGGCCCCCGACCTCAGTAACGATACAATGAGGGTGCGCCAAGCGGGTTTTCTGAGTGCCGTGGGGCCGCAATCGAGTCTCCCCGACCTGGAAGCTCTCGCAACATCTGTAGCAAACCGCAGGTCGGCGCTTGGGCTGCACTGACACCTCCCATCGCGGACCACACTCGCCATTCACGACATCCCTGAGCTTCTGGAATGAACAAAAGAGAAAAGACCGGGGGGGGAGCAGGAGGGCTGGAGAGAGAAAGGGCCGGCTGCCGGCTTGAGGCCGCCGAAAGGCCTTGGCCTCCTCCTCCTCCTCCTCCTCCCTCCTCCTCCTCCTCCACCTCCTTCTCCTCCTCTTCCTCCTCCTCCTCCTCTTCCTCCTCTCCCCTCCTCCTCCTCCTCCTCCTTTTCCTCTTCCTCCTCCTCCTCCTCCTCCTCCTTCTCCTCCTTTTCCTCCTCCACGTCCTGCTCCCTCCTCCTCCTCCTCCTCTCCTCCTCCTCCTCCTCCTCTCCCTCCTCTCCTTTTCCTCCTCCTCCTCCTCCTCCTCCTCCTCCCCCCTTCCTCCTCCTCCTCCTCCTCCTCCTCCTCCTCCTCCTCCTCCTCCTCCTCCTCCTCCTCCTCCTCCTCTTCCTCCCTTTTCCCCTCCTCCTCCTCCTCCTCCTCCTCCTCCTCCTCCTCCTCCTCCTCCTCCTCCTTCTCATCCTTCCCCCCCTCCTCCTCCCCCTCCTCCTCCTCTTCCTCCTCCTCCTCCTCATCTTCCTCCTCCTCCTCCTCCTCTTCCTCCTCCCCCTCCTCCCCTTTCGGCTGAATCGAACAAGAAACGAACCAGAAACATATGTTTTGGGGTCCGCGCTGCTTTCTTGGAGCCGCGCTGGGGCCCCCTGGTGCGCGGAGCGCGCCAGGGAGGGGGCTTTAGCCCAGAACCAAGAAATCCGCGCAGAGCGCCACACATTCATGCTTGGTTGTTTTGTTTTTCCTACAGCTGTGTATCGTGATGCCACAAATGTTGCTGATGTCGGATCTTAGGGAACGGTTGCGGGGTTCCCGCCAGTTGCCCCCGTGCTGAAACTGGCTGGTCTGAACAGACACGTTCGCGTCGTAAGAAAACACTGAGTTTGTTTTGATTGTCTTCGGTCTCTATGGGGCTCTTGACAGGCCCGGGGACCGTCAATAAAACAGTCAGGATAAAAAACGGCTTCTGGGGAAAGGGTCGGGACTTCAGGGGACCGCGTATTGAAAAAGTCTGGACACGCTGAGGTGGCCTTGTCAACCAGCAAAGAGTGGGGAGAATGGGCCCCCCTCTTCGCCACTGCTGGATGCGGTTCGAAAAACTTGTCAGTTTCGACCCTGCACCGATTTAGAGCGGATGTGCCTTCTCCCTCGAAACCTATCTAATGGCCTTCTGTCCATCCTGCCACCGTGCCGGGGCTGTGGGTATGTAGCCTGTTGGATGGTCGTTGGGATCTCGTTGGAGGCCTCTCAGGGGCCTCTTGGAGGCATTCTGGACGCCTCTTGGGGGTCGTTTTGGAGCCTTGTGGAGCCTCTTTCGGGTCTTTTTTTGGCCTCTTCAGGGCCTCTTCGCCACCGGGGGTGCTTGTGGCGACGCGCGCACCGAGAAAACTTATAGTATACGCGTAGTGGTGGGCGCTTTTTGGCCACACCGCTGGGGAAGCGATGTACTACAGGATGAGTATACTATATGTTCGGGTCGGACGCGCGCCTCCAAGTAGGACATCTAGTATTAGTATGTCTTTGTACGTCCCATTATACCCTGACGTGCCACTGTAAGGGTCCAAACTTGTTGGCCGCTCCGGGACAGCCCAGCGAAGCACAGCTTATGCTGTGCCGGTCTCGCCCGTGAGAGCGGGGCGGAGGGCGGCGGGCGGCGGCATGGTTCGAGCAGGAGGTCCACTGTAAAATTGAGTCCCCCCCAACAGCTGTCGCCGAACCTACGAAAAGATGCGTGGAACATTCGAGTGCATTTTGCACGAATGTTGGGGATCAATCAGTTCTGTAGTCGATCTCCCACTCGAGTAGTGGTCGTGGCGTTCGTCGTCGTCGTCGTCGTCGTCTTGCCAGCTTGAATCTAGGCCTCCCAGATGGGGTCCGAGCAGATGGGGTCGGAGGACCGCGCCGCATCGCCGATGCATCTGCCATGCTGCTCGATGTGGAGCCCAATCTTCTCCACGCCGACGGCGCCGATGTATCGCCGATGTCGCCGATGCATCGCCGATGCATCCTCGATGTATCGCCGATGCATCGGCGATGCGGCGCGATCCTCCGACCCCGTCTGCTCGTATCCCATCTGGGTGGCTTCAATGGTGGTGGCGGTGGTTGTGTTCGCCGTCGTCGTCTTACCAGCTTGAAACTCTAGTTATCCCAATTTTTGGCATCACCTTACCTCGGTCTTGAGGATTTCCTTGGTTTCTGAGGTCACATCCCTGGGATTGTCATCGCCTTGGGCCTGTCCATCTTAGGCATAGGGATAAGTTCGACGCTGGTCGTCGTCGTCGTCGTCGTCGTCATCGTCTTTCACCACCTACTTGAGACCAGCCGCGGGATCGAAGGCTCGAAGCGGAAGTCCGTCTCCTCCCCATGTTTCCCCCCCTCTTATTTTTCTTCCTCGTCCACCTCATCCTCCCCCTCTTCCCCTCCTCTGCCTCTTCCTCCTCCTCCTCCACCTCCAACTCCAGCTCCAGCTCCTCATCCTCTCCCTCGCCTCCTCCGCCTCCTCCTCCTCCTCCTCCTCCTCCTCCTCCCTCCTCCTCCTCCCCTTTGTCCCCTCCCCCTTCCTCCCCCTCCTCCCCCGCATCCTCTTCCTCCTCCCCCTCCTCCCCCTCCTCTCCCTCCTCCTCCCCCTCCCTCCCCCCTCCCCTCCCCGAAGCGCCAAGGCACCAAGCCCTGATGATGTCCAGCCCACTCGCCGGCCCCAGCTCCCCGCATCCACGGAGGGGCCCGATGGGACCGGCAGGCCACGTGCCAGCTCCTACCCAGGGCCACCCTTGCGTGTAGCCGACTCCTGGCATAGCGTAGGAGTAGGAGCAGGAGGAGGAGCATGAGCATGACCATCAGACAAAGTCTTGAAGAGAAGCCCTCTCCCCTGCTCAGAAGACGGACGCGACGAGCCAGCCCCACAGCGCGAACTATACGAAATACATGAAGTGACAAACTGATATCCCACCAATATTGTGTGTTGCGATGTCAACCGAAACTGTGACAAACCCAATGCACACTCAGGCCCGATATACACAGCTTGGCAGCGCTGACAGGACCGTGACTTCACCATTATTGCAGGTCCCTCGATACACAACACTAACTGCCAGACCAAACCATACCCACTGAATGCTGTGAGACGCCGCGACCGACGGCTGCCGAACAAGGAAGAAGATGGTGAGCATGGCAGTACTTTGAACGCTCCATTGATGAACAATAAGCACCAGAACTGACAGCCCACCACAAAATTTGAAAAAATTGGCTCCAACCGCCAGAAATACAACATACCCTCCCCAGGCGGAGATGGGATATGCCAACATAGTAGCTGATGACGCCCGGGCACCGACACTTTCGCCTCGCCCTTAGCCGACCCACGTCCCGTCGGAAATTCCAGAGCTGCGGGTAGCCCCAAGCACGCCGCGAGGAGGCGACGAGGCAGGACCCATGGCGCGTTTGAGCCAAAAGGGATCAACGCGCCTTGGGCCCCATGTGCTTGGGAGGAGGAGGAGGAGGAGGAGGAGGAGGAGGAGGAGGAGGAGGAGGAGGAGGTGGAGGGTGGAGGAGGAGGAGGAGGAGGAGGAGGAGGAGGAGGAAAAGGGGGAGGAGGATGAGGAGGTGCCAGTTTCGGCCCAAATTTCCTGATTCTGCTCCCCTTCAGGCCGCCGATGTTGGCGATCGAGGAGTACGGCGACCCAGACGATAACGCCACCTGGGAGCGCATGAGGGGCATCTCACCCGTGGTCGTTTGACCAGCGGACATACTCGTCGTCGTCGTGCCCCCCCTTCTGATATTTTTCCCCAGTGTTCTTGTTCTCCTTGTTTTTTTGCTTCGTTTCCCCCTCGTTTTCCTCATATTCAGAATCATCTGATGTAGCTTCTTTTTCTCTTGCATCGTTGTCCCCATAGTTCCCCTACTAAATCCGTTCTAAGGGAATGGGCCTGGGTCCAGCCAGCTCGTCGCCGCCGTCGCCAGCGTCCGTCGCCGCTGCTTTTGGGCCTGGGTGTCGGTCGCCGCGCTTGTTGCCGCCGTCGCCGCCCGCCGCCGCCGTTCGTCGCCGCTGCTTCTGGGCCTGGGTGTCGGTCGCCGCGCTTATTGCCGTCGTCGCCGCCCGTCTCCGCCCCGTTGCACCCCACCTTTTGCATTGCAGTCGATGCAATCGGTTCTCCTTTCTAAGAAAGAGAATTGTACTCTACCCCCCGGATTATTGCCCCCTTTTTCGCATTGCAATTTGCATATGATTTTGTCCCATCGTCCATCTTAGATATGATTTCGCACCATCTTAAATATGAATTCATACCCCCCGCCCCGCCATCCTTTGCAACAAATACCGTGGTCGCGCACTCGTTTATCAAAATCATAAAGTTCCAATAATTCTTTACGGGGCGACGTGCTCACGCGCGCGTCGTCGCGCGCGCGCGTGCCGACATCCTTTAAAGACCTTCAGCTTCGTACGGATATCGAAACCGAGTGCCCAAATAACATTCAAATCCAGATGGTTTCGCAACGCGGATTTCACCCTACAAGCCTGCACCCGCTCTTGCGAATGCTTGAGACAACCAGCGGTTATTCAACATTTCCAAAACATGCTACCACACGGGCCTCGCGCGCGCATGCCGAAATCGTTCGAACGTCTTTGCGCGCGTGTTGGGGTGGCACGATCCGTGTGACATGATAGCATGCGGGTCACTCGCGCGTTTGCCGCGCGAGCATGTCGAAATTTTTAACGCCTTCATTTCCGACGCGGGGACGCCGTCATCGTCGTCGGCGTGATCATCATCGGTGCCGTCGCTGGCCGTGCCGTCGTCGCTGTCGGCATCGCCACCAGCATCGCTACTAGCATCATCGTGTTTACCGTTACCGGCGTTGCCATGATACCGCGCCCGCCCATGTCGCCGACCCGCACTGAAGTGCCCGCTGGGATGTGCCGAGCGGTCAGCGCCACCGCGTTCGCGTCGGTCGCGCCAGACTAGCTGGCCGCTGCGCCCGTGAGCATGCGCGGGCTAGCGCGGCCGCAGAGATGCACCAGCCAACACCAAACATTCGTCGCAAGCGCTGCCGCATGTGTCTTGCAGACCAAGTTGCGGGTGGGTCGGTGGGATGATTGCGCGAGCAGTGGGGTGGAGTTGACAACTTCAAGTTCGGCAAGTGGATTCTCTCATATAGCAACATGAACTCCCGACTCCCCCCTGGGATTATACGCGCCCCTTTTCCTGTTGCAATTTGCGTGTGGTTCTGCCCCATCGTCCATCCTAAATATGAGTTGGTGCCATCCCAGCCCAACCGGTATCAACCCCCCCGTCATCCTGTGCAACAGATGAATGCGCGCGCGCTCGTTTAGCACAAATCATTAGTTTGCATGGCTCCCAAACAAAAGAACGAAGTGCTCTCGCGCGCGTCGTCGGGCGTGCGTGCCGCAATGTTTTAAAACTGTCAGTTTCGTGCGGACGGAATTCAAAACATAATGTCCAGAAAACATTTAAACACATGGCTTCCAACGCGGATGTTCAAAGAATGCGTGCGTGCGCATTCTTGCGAATTCTTGAGGAAGCCAAAAAGTCTTCCAACCTTTTTCAGACACATACTACCAAATGGGTTTCGCGCGCGGCATGCCGATCGTTCGAATGCCCTTGCGTGTGCGCATGCCGAAATCCTTCATAAACCTGTTTGCGGTTCGCCATGATGTTCAAACCGAAAGTCCAAAACGCATTCCAGGACACATGGTTTCGCATGGCCAGTTTTCAGAAAAGACGTGCGCGCGCGCTCTTGCGAGTTCTTAAGAAAAACCAGATGTTGTCAACATTTTCAGAACGTGCTACCAGACGGGCCACTGGCGCCGCGCGTTGACATGAGTCGCGCGCCCTTGCGCGCGTGCTGAGGGGGAGGGGGGGGCGCGATCCGTGTCAAATAAAGCCATGCGGGCCCCTCTCGCGCGTCGGCCGCTTGCGCGTGTCGAACTCCTTCCAACACCTGCGTCGCCGACGCGAGGGCGCAGTCATCGTCGTTGGCGCGATCGGCATCGGCGCCGTCGCTGGCCGCGCGTTCGTCGGTGCGAACGTCGTCGCCAGCATCGCCGCTATCATCGTCGCGTTTACCGTCGTCGGCGTCGCCGTGGTGCCGCGCCCGCCCGCGTCGCCGACCCGCGCTGAAGTGCTCGCTGGGATGTGCCGAGCGGTCAGCGCCAGCGCGTTCGCGCCGGCCACGCCAGACTAGCTGGCCGCTGCGCCCGCGAGCATGCGCGGGCTAGCGCGGCCGCAGAGATGCACCAGCCAACCCCGAACATTCGTCGCAAGCGCTGCCGCATATGTTTCGCAGACCAAGTTGCGGGTGGGTGGGTGGGGTGTTTGCGCGAGCAGTGGAGTGGAGTTGACAGCTTCAAGTTCGGCAAGTGGATTCTCTTTTCTGAAAAGCAAAGATTATCTCCCCCGGTGGGTTATCGGCGCCGGCGCCCGCGCTGGCCGCGCCTTCGCCGGCGCGAACACCGTCGCCAGCGTCGCTACTATCATCGTCGCGTCTACCGCCGCCGGCGTTGCCGCGATGCCGCGCCCGCCCAAGTCGCCGACTTTCAGTGAAGTGCCTTCTGGGGCGCGCTCGGCGGTCAGCGCCACCGCGGCCGCGTCGGTCGCGCCAAACTAGCTGGCCGCTGCGCTTTTTAAAACATTTGCGCGCGCGCTCTTGCGAACACTTCGGAAAACCACGGGTGCAGCGCATTTTAAGGACGCGCTACCAAGCGGGCTTCGCGCGCGAGCGCCGAAATCGTTGAGCGCCCTTGCGCGCGTGCCGGGAAGGCGCGATCCGCGTCGCATAATAGCTGGCTGTCTTTAGGGCGGGTTTAGGTTGAGTTTGTTGAGTGTTTTTGTGTTTTGGTGCCGACGACGATTGTAATGATGGTGGTTATCAAATCGTAGTGCTGATGGTGGTGACGATGGTGATGATGATGATGGCGGTGCTCATCGCATCCACAATCACCATCATCACCATCACCATCATCACCATCACAACCGCCCTCACCATACCATCATCCCCATCCCCATCATCATCATCATCACCATCCATACCATCAGCATCGCCATCACCATCACCATCGTCACCATTGTGGTCCGTAGGACTTGGCTCAAGGTAATGTCATGGAGCTCTAACATGCTATGTAAACGCTCCTTGGGAGCTCTAACATGCTATGTTAGATTTCGATGTGAGGGTTGTGAACTCTATGTTAGAGCTCGATGGGAGCTCTAACACAGCATGTTAGAGCTCCCATCGAGCCGCCCCCCCCGCCGTCGTCGTCGTCGTCGTCCCATCGGGCACGTCCGCATGTCGCCCCCCCCGCCGCCGTCGTCGTCGTCGTCGTCGTCGTCGCGGTCGTCGTTGTCGTCGTCCCACTAAGGCACACCCTCACACGTCTTGTCGGCCTCACGTGGAGCTCCGCCGAAGGCTCCAATGGGCATTTCCATTTTGCGCGTCCGCCTCATTTCGGCAACCCCCTCAGACGCTTCGCGGCCCCCATCCGCAATGCCTCGGGCCCCGCCCCTCTGGCGGCGCGCAACCTATGAGGAGAGAGTCATCCTGCGTTACTCGCAGCTGCATGGGGTTGGGCCCTTACGACGGCGACGACTTCCACGAGGGCGACGAGGTGAAGACGGCGACGACGACGACGACGACGACACATCCTCTCCGCAGCCGCCTCCTCATCTTCCTCTCCTTTCCTCCCACGTACCTGGTCATCCATCCAACCTTCCATTGTGTTCCTCCCACGAATCCTCGTCGTCGTTGCCCTCCTCCTCCTCCTCCTCCTGTTCATCCTCCTGATCCCCCTGTGCCTCGTGCCCTGCATCCCCCTCTCCTCGCTTTTCTTCTTCGTCTTCCTCCTCCTCCTCAGCGTCATCGCCATCATCGTCATCAGCAGCGTCAGTATCGGCATCCTCAGCACCATCATCATCGTCGTCATCATCATCATCGTCGTCACCATCAGCATCATCATTATCATCGTTATCGTGATCATAATCAGCATCCCCCCGTGGCCCATGGCCCTCCTCCTGCTCGCCCTTTTTCCTGCTATCCTGCTCCTCCTGCGCCTCATCCTCCTCCTTCTCCTCCTCCTCGCCCCCCCCCCCCCCCCCCCCCTCCCACGCCCCCCCCCCCCCCCCCCCTGGACCTGGGCGGGGCGGCTCCAAGAGCGCCTCGGAGAGCCCAAGATGACCTCCGAGATGCTCCAAGATAGCCCAAGATGCCTCAAGATGGCCCCGAAGATTCTCCAAGGGGGCCCAAGAACGCTCCAAGACGGCTCCAAGAGGCCTCGGAGACCTCCAAGGAGGCCCCCAAGATGCCAAAATCCGTTAAAACACTTACAGGAAATATGCGTTGTGTGCCTTCTCGCCTTTTCGCTTCCGATGACCATCCGAGGGCCCAAGATGGCTCCAATTGGGGCCCCAAGAGGGGGCCAAGAGAGCACCAATACGGCCCCAAGGGCGCCCAAGAGCGCTCCAAGAGCGCCCCAAGAGGGGTCCAGGAGGCTATTTTGTGGGTACCCGAGGGGCAGGGCGATTTGAGGGATCCCCCTTCGTTGATCGATTTCCCTCACATGGTAGAGCTCCCAGGGAGCTCTACCATGGCATGTTAGAGCTCCCAGGGAGCTCTAACACGGCATGTTAGAGCTTCAGGGAGCTCGAACAAGCTACGTTAGATCCCCCTGGGAGCTCTAACACGGGATGCTAGAGCTCCC